ATGCCACCTTACTCCTTCCAAACAGCACTTTTAAAATTTATTTGTATTTGTGTGTGTTTAGATATACACATATAGGTTATATTCACTATTCAATTTTGTAATCTGCTTTTCAGTTAATAGAAGGTAGTTAACATTATAAGTATTTTTAATAATATTGAGTATTTTTTTATAACATAATAGCTATAGATGGCCCATTGTATAGATATACCATAACATGTTCACCTAGGACTTTGCTAGACCTTGCAGTGGGTGCTCATCTATATTTTACATGTTTTTAAGAATAATTTCTAGAAAGGAAATTACTAGGTAATGGATGATATTGATTGCTCTTCCTGTTATGGTCTTAGCTCCTTTTTAATATTACACAAACCCCACTCATCATTCAGAGGAAGTGTAGGTTTATGTTTCATGCTGCTGTTATTGTAGTAAATTACAATGTGAGGGTGGTGTCAGTTTTCATTTATGATAAAATGAGAACGTGAAGAGACCTTTGATATGACAAAGACAATGGAGAAGTTCACATCAAGATTGCAGAAATAAATGATTCATCTCACGCTATCCTAATCACTTGAAAGTACCTCTCAGTGTTGAGCAGAAAACCTTCTGGTAATTTCTTTTGTCCTACAAAACATCAGGGTCCTCCTCTATTAAACAACCTTTATTGTTTTTTTTCTTAGTATAACCTCATTTGTTTTCAGTATATTCTTTATATACATACACATACACACAAACTAAAAAGTGGATTTTTAGTGTTTCTTTTTAGTATAGTCTCTTCTGTTTTAATTCTTTCTCTAAAAATATGGTTTTTAGACTTCTGTGAATATTTCTCTTAAAGTGTGAATCTTCAAACAGCAGCCTCTATTGGTATAAAATCCAAACAGTTAGAATAGTGGTATTCCTTTAATGTGGATACATCAGTTAAGACTGTCTTGGTTTGTGGTACATGTTTTGGTCATCTTTATTGCATTCCTGTATATATTATCATCATTAAGATATTTTATGTGTAAAATATATAACTGATGCTTTCAATCAAGAGGCAGACTTTTCCCTTGATACTGATAAGTTTTTAATCTTCCTAGTATCAATCCAGCATTCCAGCATCTTGGGATATCTTTGATTATTTGATCTTGATTTCTCTTTGTTAACTGTTCCTACTGGCTTTGTTCATTCTGTGCTCTGTATAAATATACCTGCTATACCTCAAATCAAGAAACGGATTATCAGGACTGTTCAAGACTATTCGTGTTCATTTTATAGAAATAGGTATTTTTCCTTTGCAAGGTAACTCTAGGGAAAATGCTTTAACTACTTTTATTTTCCGGATGGCTTTACTTTTTTTGAAATGAGGGTTAATCCATGACCATTTTTTTTCTGATATTGTGCTATCAAATGATTAAGGGCAGTTGTTTTCAATTGTTGCTCTATATTTTAGTGTTAATGAGCTTGTCTTTTTATGGCCACGCTCTGATAGTGATTCATGCCTTAAGCTGACTTCAACTTTGATCTACCTGGGAACTATTAAAATCGGTTAATTAATTTATTTCTGAGTTATTTTTCTTCCTCCAGACCTACAAGAGACCAGCACCACAAAGGTAGCTTAGCGCTTTTGTTTTGTTCTGAGTCAACCTGATGGCAGCCTAATTAAAATGTTCTGTCACCCACACGGAGGGTATTTTTGAGTCATCCAAATACCTTTTAGGGACCATAGATTTTGTTCAGGGAGACCCTGAAGGAGTCTGTTTCCTAATCCAACAGGACCGTAATAAAACATTCCCCAGCTTAGAGTATTTTTTAAACTTCTAGTCAACAAAAGCAGCTGCTTTTATGGTTCGCAGATGGAGAAATTTATAGTCCGAGACTAATGGACCTTGGTTCATTTCCAAAAGCTCATGGCATTAGATGGTGTTCATATTTAATTGATAACAGCCCAAACTTTAATACATCATTATATATTATAGATTATGCTATATGAAGTTATCAATTTTGTAATACGAGTACACCTTCACTATGTGTTATATTTGTGCAAATGATGTCAGAAAATGTTAGCACAGGAAGAAGGAGCCCTGGAGACCATCAACTCTTTTGCAGATGATATCAAATAAACAAGTATATACACACATGTGGACATCCAGAAAACTACAGTAGCCAAGGCCTCTTGACCTCATTCCAGGACTTTTCTGTGTGTTTGTCCCCTGTTCAGGATTCATTTTTCACTGGTATTCTTGTCTCAGGCTCCAGCTCACCCTGTATTAGACTGACCCTTGTAATACTCCACGCATATTGCTCTCTGTTGCCTGCACAAAGATACGTCAGCTCCCTTGCCACCTACCAAACCTTTCATGATCTCACATCATATCTCCTGTTATGTTCAGCTGTATATTGGCACTGCTGCTGCAAGCCCCACGGTACTGGGAAAGCTTCTGTCCCTTCTGTCTAGAAGTCCCTTCCCGACTCCCCGCCCCCATTTTGATACATCTTTCTATTTTCAGCACTGAGGTTCCCCTAAGAAGCCTGTTCTGCCCACTCCTCCACAATTACTACTCCTGGCTCTCTCTGGCATTTGAACTCCAGTACTTCTTTTGTTTTCTATGAATTTATTTGCAGGTTCCGAATACAAATATTTATGTCTTTCTCCACTAGATGGCGTGTATCTTCAGGGCAAAAATCTGTCCAACTTAAATCAGTGCCATTATAAGAGTAATAAACCTAACACAGTACCCAGTAAATAATAGAAATTAAATAATGTTTTCTTGAATTGAATAAAAGTGGTCTTTTTTAACATGATTTAACATACTCATAAGATAGCGAATAAATGATTAGCATCTGTAAGAGCAACCTGCTGACCTGAGATCATTAACTATTCTCTTGACTCCTGGGTGTGTTGCAGACTTGTTGGTAGGTATCTGGTTACGCTGTTGTCTAGCACCTGAAGAAATTACAAATGTGTTTGATTAGAAGTGGCATGAAAAACAGTTAGGTATTCACATGTAATCTTTGAATCCTGAATATGAGATTTTCTTATAAAATTGTATTGAACCAATTTTTGTGGACTTTTCCAAGTCAGTTAGCCTTGGTATTATATCCAAAATGGCCTGGAAATGCACACATTATAACAGTATAATTTGACCAATATCCCTCCCCAGCACTTCCTCTCCCTCCCCACCTCCCACCCTCACACTTTCTTTGCCTGGGTTGGAGGCTTTTGCCTGTGAAACTCTGGGCAAGTCATTTAATCTGAGGTTTGTCCACCTGCTTAACCATGGGACTTATAGGACTAGGGTGAGGATTCAGAAAGTCTGTCATGATAATATCAAGCACTGCTGCTGTGTCCTGGTGAATTGTGTTTAGATTATAGAGCACCTTCAATCTTGTTTCAGTACAGGGCTTTCGATTTAAACATTCCACGGTTTATTTATAATGGGATTTGATTTTAGTATTTAAACTCTTGTCTCTGCAACTTAAAATAGACCTCATAATTTGACTCACCTCATAGATTTGTAGTGACGTTTGAATGAAAAAACGCATGTAACCCATTCAGTACAGAGCTCAGCAAATAGTAGGAGCTTAATAAATGTTGATTGCTACAACAGTTGAAGAGACAATTCCAGCTGTTATAATGACAGAGATTACTCAGGAGACTAAAGAAAAAGTAACGCCAGTTCTTCCATAACATTTTTTTTTCATTTATTACTTTTTATTTTCAAGTTAGTTTTGCTATAGCTTAGCAGAAAATAAATAACTAGTTATTTGCTGAGTTCATTGGTCTTGATGCTGTACTAATAAGATCCTAGGTGCTATCCAGGGCTTCCACTGGTTTTAGGCCATAAAATTAAAACTTTTAACCCTTCTAACCCTTCTAACCCTTCGACATGGGAAATTTATCTCATTATCTTGAGTGTGTAATATTTCTATGTAGAAATATCAATTAAGAACTAAGGTGCCATTGACGGACCAGTTCCTGACAGTGCAGAGTAGCTGTCAGCATTGTTCTCACATG